CTCGGTGACAGCACCGCCGCGACGCCGCCCCCGCCACCGCCACCGCCTGGGCTCGGGTTCCCGCGATCCGGCCGCCCGCGGCTCCGGCACCTTCGGCAAACCAGGAAGTCGCCGGGAGGGGGAAGGGGCGCGGGGACGCGCCTGCGGCTGCACCTGGCCGCGCCGCCCCGGGCGGGACCTGCGGACGCCTGGCGGGCCGAGCCACGTACCGTGTGCAGCCCTCAGGACGCAGGTGCACTGTCCTGCGCTCCGGCTCCAGCCGCGGCCGCCGGGGTCACGCCCAGCCTCCAAGAAGGACCTGAAAAAGTACTTGACTTGCCCTGGGTTTCCCACATCACGTGCACACGAAACCGAGTTCCAGTCACGGCAAACTACAGATTCGAAGCTCAAGTGAATGCTCCCGGCCTCTGCCACGCTCCAGCTGTGCCCTGGTTACTGCTCTCAGAAATCCAGAGCTGCGCCCTCCTGATTCAGGAATGTTCAAACATATGCACCTGCTAAACAGCTCTGTCAAATAGCTGGAGGATCCCGCTTCCCTCTGCCTGAACATGTGGGAAACAGACATTCCTGCGGCAGCGACTGAAAGACAGCCAAGGACTAACTTTTGAACACATTCACACAGTGGCAGGCCCCCCAGAGTGTGTCTGTCTAGGGAGCTGGGAGGGCACCACTGAAGAATGGAGGGGATGGGAGCAGAGTTCCAGAACAGCAAAGCACGTGCTCTGTGAGCAGGTGATAAACATCCTCTGAATATTTTCCATAGCTGTGCTGTAGACACTTAGATCACCACCTCACAGAGAGCCTAAGCTAAGCAGTGGGCAGTGGCCAAAGCTGGGATTCAACCGGAGTCTTTCCGTTGTTGATTTCTCTACAGCTTACTACCTCTTCCCCTACCTCCTCGAATTTAGGGTCTACTAAGAGGTTTAGAGAAGGTCTTATGGCTGGGCGTGTAGCGCACACCTTTAATCGCCGCACTTGGGGATCGCACTTGGGGATCGAGTCCAGCCTGGTCACCGTAGTGAGTTCCAGGCCTGCTGTAGCTACAGGGTGGCCCTGTTTCAAAAAGACAAAAAGAAAGAAAAGAAAAGGTCTTATGATTGACACTCAAAAAATTGTCCAGAGCTGGAGGGTCACACAGATCTGCTAGGGACTAGACATGGCCTCACAGCAACCATTCACTCTTGTGACACTCAGTGTCATCCAATGGAGGGTGCTTCAGCCCCTCCTCATGCAGAAGGTAAGAGAATGAGGAAACGAATGTGGTATGAATGTGGTATGAGTCATGGGACATAGGAGTCAGGCAGGCAAGAAGTCTTGGAAAATAAAGAACTTAGAGAATCTTAAATTACACTCCAATACACTGTTCAACTTTCCTGTCAAAGTCGATGTTCAACATAGCAAGATGTGTCATGTCCCACAGTCACCAGCTGCCTAGTTAAAAATGAGGTTTGTGAGTTCAAGGCCAGCCTGGTCTGCATAGTGAGTTCAGGTCAGCTGGGACTACAGGGAGACCCTGTCTCAAAAAGATCAACAACAACAACAACAACAAAAATGAGGTTAGGATATAGCTGAAAAACAAAAAGGCTATATTTGTGCATACTGCCGTCATAACATGACTTAGTGTAGGATGTTTAATTTCAGTTTCTCACTTCCTACATTTGTAAAATGGGAATGTTTACTTGTGAATCCCATGAGTAGTGTGTTGTTCGAGTTTAAAAGTTCTGTGTCACGTGTGAGATATTTGGAGAAATTCTGTTAATTTTAATTTCACAATTAGGCCAACTATCCCATGTAAATTTGGTTTTTCCATGTGAAGCCTTTTCTGCCTAACGATTTAACATACTCCAAAGATTTTAAATAAATGCTGTAAACTAAAACCACTTCTGCCTCAACTGTTACTGAAAGTTTTGAGCTTCTCCTTTCATTATAATTAATCCTTCTCCAAAGAAAAGAAACTTACCTAGGGTGCCTGGTCATGATTTTTTTCCTTTGTGTGTGTGTGTGTGTGTGTGTGTGTGTGTGTGTTTCTTTTTGAGTTAGGGTCTTACTTTGTAGCCCTGGTTGGCCTGGAACTCCCTATGGAGACTAGGTTGGCCTTGAACTCACAGAGATCCACCTACCTCTGCCTCCTGAGTGCTGAGGTTAAAGGTGTGTACCACCAGGCATTGCTTGACTGTGTGGAATCATGAATTTTTAATATGGGGTGATAAAATAGTACTGCAATTGTTTTCCCCGTCCATTGTTGATATTATTTAAAGTGATAGTCATACTCCTGTATAATATAAAATTGCTATTTATTCAATCTACACTAAGTGTATGAAGAGAAAAAGCCATACAAACTCCATACCACATTTGAGACTGACTATAATAGTTTGTTATTATTAAGTTTAAAAAAGAAGCACAGATGGATATGATGTACATGCATGATTTGTTAAAAATTATTGGAGAAAGAATTTAGTGTTTATCAATCTTGGCAATATGTTTACTATTGAAGCCCATGGTATAATTTTAGTAATTCTTTGTATAGAATTCACCATATTACTACTAGAGGAGTTTACAGACAGCAGAACTTCAGATTGGTTAACTTTTCCTGAGATCATATTTCAGCAATAATATGTCCTACGTGACAATTAGTAATAACATTTTTAGACCCATAGCAGTGAAAGAACATGGTATATATTACTATAAGAACACGTAATGGGACTAAGGCTGCCGCTGGGTGGTAATGTACTTGCCTACCATCCACAAGGCCCTGGTTTGAGCCTCAGCACAAACATGGGGGGGGGGATATTTAGCTACTCTTGGGTGTCCTATTCTTAGAATATGTTCTTGATCAAGTATGATGACTGTGCTGACGACATTTATTACTAAATTTGAATCTGCCTGACGTAATTGGAGGAATGGGAGAGGTGAGTTAGGGTACCCTAACATGTTGATGGAACTGTCTGTTTCAACTTACAGTCCTGTCAGTTTTTGCTTTCTACAGTTTGTGACCATGTTGCAATATACATACCAGTTTATAAGTGCAAATCTACCTAGTAAATTGAACCACTTATCATGACGTTATTTTTTTTTTTTTGCCTTAGTTGCTTTTTCTTTTGAACTGTTTTCCTGGTGTTAGTATATCTCCTTTTATCCTTTTACATTGAAACTTTCTAATTATCATGTTTTGTGCTTATCTAACAACTTTTGTTCACCCTAACAGTGCTTACTTTCCTCAAGCTATGCCCGAATAGTCTCTGACTAATAGTCATTACCTACTAGTGATATGGAAAAAAATCCAAATCCAGGTCCTTTAGCGAGCCACCTGCTGTTCCCAAAGTCCTAGTAACCACGGAGGTAATTACTAATGTATTCTATCCATGTAGAAATAAGCTTTAAAGTAAAAAGTTATTGATACTCAGGAGTCTTTCCCTGAGTCACTTTCCCTCTAGAAAGTAGAAAGAAAAACACTACTATGAACTCTCAGAAGGCAGTTTTAAAGTACTGTCATTAATAATGCTTCAGTATTAATGTAGTCTGATTAACTTGGCTCTTAGAGTAAGCTTTCAGACCATGTGCATCTGTTATAACTGCTGATAAACTGTATTTATTTCTGCCATTTATTGGGCTGCCTGTTAGTTTCCCCTGATCTGTGCTCCTTTCTTTGGCTATTTTACAATTCATTGCAATTCTTGTGCTTTTGTTTCTGGACACCTTCCACCCTAACCTTCTAGTTTGGAAGTTATATACTCTTTACTCATTAACTAGACTCATGTGGGCTATGAACCTCACCACCTTATAGCAAGGTTTTAAGTTTCAAATAACTCACTTAGAAATGTGGTTTTCAAGGCACCCTTCTCGTCCTCTGTAGCTAGCATGTTTCCAACCAGTCATTCCCTAAAATCTCACTAGGTATGACTTCTTATTCTTGCTCTTAGGTTACATTTATTAATAGCATCCCAATCTTCACTTATTGTGAAGAAAGCTTCTTTCTACAAAGTACTTAAAAAGTCAAATTTCTTGGGCTGAAAGATAGCTCAGCAGTTAAGAGTATTGGCTGCTTTTACAGAGGACCTGAGTTCAATTCCCAGAACCACATGGTGGCTAACAACTGTCCTTAATGCCAGTTCCAAGAGAATATGATACCCTCTTCTAACCTCCGCAGGCATTGCACAACATGGGTGCTCTTTCATACATGCAGGCAAAACATGTATACACATAAAAAAATAAATAAAATATTTTAAAGTCAAATTCCTCAAAGAATGTTATGCTAAAAGTATCATTTCCTAAGACAGACGTGGTGGCACACCCCTTAAGTCCTAGTACTCAGGAGGCAGAGGCAGACAGATCTCTGTGAATTCAAGGCCAGCCTGGTCTACATAGTGAGTTTCAGTCTAGCCAGTGCTACATAGTGAGACCCTGTCTCAAAAGAAAGAAAACAAAACAAAAAAAAAACAAAAGAAAGAAAACTTATTTCCTGACTTGAATTGACTGTCTACTGAGACATTGCTGAGGGAAACATACTTCCTGTTTTGGTGTTTCTTTTATAATTAACAGCAAAAACATATACTTGAATCTAAAGGTAAACTCTCCTTCAACAAGACACGTGCTTTTAAAAATAAGAGAAGGCCGAGGAGAGGCTGCAGGAGCAGTGTTTTTCCTGGAAGTGTGCTTCTCTGTGTTGCCTGCATTCCTCATAGTTTATAAAGTTAGCATTCTGTGTTGATTTAAAAGACAAGTTCAAGGACACTTTCCATTTTCTGGACAAAATGCCACACACAAATTTTGATATCTTTATTACCAAATCTGAACAAATGCAAATAATCTTAAAATTCAAGTGATAAATTATATTTTGCTGTTAAACTTTTAACAAAAATGTCATAAGTTTTACAGTAACCCCCCCGCCCCCAGTAATTTACTCCAAGTTGTAGAATAAATGGTCTTACCTCCGACCAGCTTCTGCTACTTCACTCTTCTCTTCATTCCTCGGTCTGCCAGACATTGGAGAACTTAAAATAGTGCTTGAGAGGCCAGAGCAGAGAATATTGGAAGCAGGGGAGGACCAGCAGATGGTAATTGGAGAAATCTGATTCTCTTCAGTCTTGCTTGGACTTCCAGAAACAGTGGCAGTGTTTGTGTAACCCTGTGGCACTGCATGGGAAGCAAGTTCCTAACCCCACCCACGAGATACTCCCCATAAATACAAACATCATCATTGTGTGACAGCCCTCCCTGCTCACACCCATTGAATCTTCTCAGTGGAGTGAGTAATCACATCCAAAGAGCAATGTCATTAGAATTTACTGGAAGGAAATATAAGAAAGCATCTAATAAGATACTGATAATCCAACATGATCAGCAGCAACTCTAAACAACCCTATTCCTGATGAAACAGACAAACAAGAGAGAGACAGAGAGAGAGAGAGAGAGAGAGAGAGAATCCCAACAAATTCCTGCTTGCCAAATCCACTTTCCTGAAATACAAGGAAATCAGTAGGCAAATATGGCATACATATAAATGAATGCATCTGATTGATTCTGGGTGTGAAGAGATGCAGGATGCCAGTTGATAGAGCTCAGTCAAATAAACACTAGGACAAAGATTCAATTTCACAGCACAAGGTCCCTGGAATACTAAACATATTCAAAACCCCAAAATATTTCATAGATCGTCCCCCATCTCCTACTACTACAAATCAGAGAAGATAAAAAGAAACAAAAATTAAGGGTTCTCTTGGGTGTCAGAAATATGGGCTTCACAACCACACTCCTTGCTGTTGTCAGATGTCACAGACCAAAAACTTAGGCAAATGTGTGACCAGGAAAGAAAACTCTGCTTGCAACTTCTTTGGGAAGGAAGGGGAAACTGAACAACATCTTCATAGTTCCATGGGGATGTATTTGCTTTCTTGGTTTAAAAAAAAAAAAAAAGAATACTGTCTCACACTTTTTTCTTCATTTTGTGTACACAAGTCTAGTAGTCTCTTACATCTTCTTGAGACTGCCAATAGGGACAGCTGGCTTTGGCTGCAAGGAGAAGGAAGATTTTAGACTCATGATTCAGCCTGATGGCCTACAGGTGACTTAATAGTAGTCTTGCATCTGTGAGAACAGACTGCATTTTCTGCCTGCTATCCAGCTGACTCTTGAGTCTTCCCTTCCCTTCCCTGTTGGATGGAGTTATGGCTCAGGAACTTCAACACAGTATGAATACTGAGCACAGTAATTATACTGTATTCTCACTGTGGTTACTCAAGAAAACTACTGAATAAGTGCTGCTAATTCCTACTCTGTGATGACATAAATAAAGCCATTGATTTCTACGTGACCCATTCATTTACCTGTATGATTTCTAATACAAATATGTTGTACTTCTTCTTTCAATAAGTAGGTATTAATTCTTAAGTAATATATGCAAGAGGAGAGGCCTGATATTAGAATTGGAAGTAATATTTTAAATCTAGTGATCTTCTATTGAGTTACAAACAACTGACTCCAGCAAACCAACTGGTAAAACCACTTCCAATTTGTGAAAACAAAAAGGAAGCCTTTTTTTGTCTTGGTATTTGAATCACCGTATCATTTCATGTGTATACCAGAAGGACAAGCTTTACCACATTTGCCTTTATAGTTCTTGAGAATGTGCCAAGTGCTTTATGATCATTTTTTATTAGCTGAGTCTCTCAAAGGTCCTGTGAGGTATAGATTGGAGGTAGAACAGGTACTATAAATGAGGGAGCAGGCAGCCTACTCTCAAGGGACACTTTAGCTCCAAGAATGCCTGTATGAAGAGAGTGCTTTCCCATTTGCCAGAGGTACCAGGACATACTAGTTAGTCTGCATTATACCACTGAACCATTTTGAAAAATCATTTTCTTCAAGAAGAATCTGTGTATCTGCCTTTCTCTATGTCTCTCATTTTCCCTCCTCCAAAATAAATGTAAGTAGTCTTCAAGACTCAAGTGAATCTGTATTCCAATTCAGCAGCCACTGCTATCTGATACATTTCCCTCACTGATAGGTTTTAAAGTAGACAAACAGCACTCAATGCTGTGTAGTCAAACTTTTCTTTAACAGTTCCCTATATGAGTTGCAGCATCAAAAAAAACACTCATCTCGTATGAGCTTGCCTGGGTTTTATACATGCTGTCATCATTGGTATAAGTTCATGTGAGCAATTTCCCAGCTGCCTGGAAAACTCTGCATATGTGTGGTTTTCCATCACCTGTGGCTCTTACATTCTTTCCACCCCTCTTCCAAATGGTCCCTGAGCCATGGGTGGCAGAGGTTTGATACAGGTATCCTACCAGACAAAACCATCATAGAAAGGGGGACATGGGTAAGAATCTCCAATCTTAGCTGAGAAACTATTAGTAACCAACAACTACTGGGAGAAGGAGAATTGGTTTTCTTTAAGGGAGTGATGCTAGATAGGCTTAACAGGCTCCAGTGAATGAACTCACACCAAGGGACATTTGGGGACACAAATTTGCCTCTATAGCCTTAATATATATGATAGAATGTATGAAATCTGGTGATGATGCTATGGGGGGTGCAGAGAGGAGAAGGGGTCTAAATATGATCATGATAAATCTGTGAAATTACCAAAAATTCAATAAAAAATAAATGTGTACACTGATTATTTTTAAAAACACTTATACAGGAGACAGCAGGCAAATCTCTGTGAAATCAAGGCCAGCCTGGTCTACATCATGAGTTCCAGGCCAGCTAAAGCTACAGGGAGATCCTGTCACAAAGAAAAGCATAAGAAACAAAAGGGGTATTCATTTATTACTGTTGTTACCCCATCATCATATTACACATAATGAAAGCTAAAGTCAAAAGAAACTTTCTTAATTACTCATTAAAAAACTGTTTTTTTAGGGAAAAACTTGGCTTAGAAACTGGATTTCCTGATTCTTAAAGATGAAAAGGCTAAATTAAAGAACATTCATAGAATGTTCATGAATGTTCTTAAAATTGAAAATGTTATGATTATCATTTTATATTCATTTTGATAGATATTTGTGATATGAAACTGTTCTCTGTATAACTTTTACTAATTGCACTAAAATGATATAAGCTGCCTTTGCAGACAGGTATATTATTGGTAGTGAACTGCAGAGATGGGTGCCAGGGGAGTGGATGTGAGTTGGCATGCATGTTGGGACAGTCACTTATCCCCAGACCAATATTCACACTTTATCGTTTATGTTTGCTCCGTGTCGCCTCTTGTGGCTTGGGCTATGGTGTATGGTTTTTGTTGCCCTTCTTTGGGTGAACAAAGCCTCCAAAGACACTTTTTGTAGTGAGCTGTCTTCTATTTCCCCCAAATTCCTTTACCTTTCCCAGAGGACTTTATGTATCTTGGCTTCGGAAGCTGGAAAGTCCAAGAAACTGATGCTAATATTACTGAGCTTGGAAGTCACAGTCTGTGCCCTAAGAAGCCAACCTTCCTCAATAAAGCAAAATTAAAGAGCCAAATTAATAGTGGAAAACAGAATAAAGAGATTTATTCAATGTGACCTCATTGGGAAGAGGAACAAAAAGATCCCATCATCACACAGACAAATTCAACTAAGGTCCTGGTGTGAGGGTGGGGTTTAAATAGAAAGAGATATGCCTAATTAATCAGTCAGCCAAGGTGCAGTCCCTGCCCACCAATGTTTCACCTCCAACTCTCTCTTGCAAGGTCAGTCTCTCCAGCAAAGCTATCTGTGAACTTGTAAGTCTTTCTGAAGAAGACTAGTTCCTCCCTTGACAGACAAATTCCTCCTCTGGATGCCCCTAGGACTTCAGAACTTTCTTGTCCCAGCAAGAGATTCCTGGGAAAATTCTAACGGGGGGAGTCTGATAGCCAAAAGGGAACACATGTATCTCTTTGGAGTACGCTCATTCCTGCCAAACAGGCAGTTACACTGGCACCTACTGACAACCTTCTTGTTCATCGTGGTGGAGGAGGGCACCCGCCTAAGGAGGAAGAAAGTCTGTGTCCTAAACTATTGTCATTTCCTTAGTGAGAGATCACATAGTTCCTCCCCACATGGAGCTTACAGTCTGGTAAATAGAGACCAAGAATAATCATGTAAATATATAAATAAAAAAATTTCTGGTAGAAACGAATGCTAAAAAATAAACACAATAATGAACTGGAAGGATGGGCAGACGGCTACTTTAACTAGAGTAGACAAGGCGCACCTCTCTAAGGTGAAGAGATGTGAACTGCTGCTAGCATGGTAGAAGACAGGCCACTATGCAAAGAGAACAGAATGAGGCTTCCTGGCAAAGAGAATACATAATGCAAATTCTACAAGGCTCAGACAAGGCTAGTACATTTAAGGAAAGCCAAGATAGCCAGTAAAAGTAGTGGAGATAGTATCAGGGAGATGAGCCAAGGCCAGGCTAAGAAAAGTTTCTTCAAGCCATGGTAAGGGCTGTATTTTACTTCACTTTCTGTGGAAGTTATTATGCATAAGGCAAAGTAAGGAATTAAGAAAGATATCTATAAAACTGTTTTTGTAGTTTAGAAAATAAAATGTAGTCTATCATTACAGTTGCAATGAAAATAAGAAGTAATCAAATTTCAAATTAGATTAGAAATTAGATTAATTAGAGCTATTGCCCAGGTGAATTACCCAAGAGATAGATGTAGATAAGAGAGTAAACCTAAGAGCTGATGGAGGTAGGGGGGAGCAAGTGCTAGCTTTTTGACTAAGGGACAGAGGTAAGGATGAATGTGTAAGTATGGGGTGAGGAAGGAACCAAAAGTTCTAGTTTAAACACTGTGAGACTAAAATACCTTTGGACATTTAAGAGATGTGGTCTATGAAACCACTCCAGGAAATCAGTCTGCCCCATCCTGTAAACCTTAGCTAGTTCGCAATAATCATCTACACTGAGACAGATACTTGAAATTTTTGACTGGTATGCTTTCAGCCAAAGGGTGCATTGGGAGCCTATTGACTGGGATCTTTTTAAATTTAGGTGGTGAAATCTGAAAATGTCACCACCTTCCTTGAGTTCTTTTTAAAGTGATTCATTGTCCTCAAAGACCCTATAGAAAAATGAAAACTAAAGTAATGTGAACCCAAAAGCTTAAAATACAAAGGAAGAAAGCATGCATAAA